CTAGGTTCAAGCAATTCTCTTGCCTCAGCCTTCAGAGTAGCTGGGATTAGAGGTATGAATCACCACACCTAGCTAATTTTATATTTTTAGTAGAAATGGGGTTTCTCCATGTTGCTCAGGCTGGTCTCAAACTCTGACCTCAGGTGATCTGCCCTCCTCGACCTCCCAAAGTACTAGGATTAAAGGCGTGAGCCACTGCACCCAGCCTATGATTGTTATTTACAGGGTTTACCTAATAAAAGTCATTTAAAAAATGAAGTTGCAGCCACAGACAAGACTGAATAACTGAAAAACTAAGTTTTACACCTGACTTGCAGGATGAGTTCAGGCAAATCTTTGAATTGTGCTTTCTCGTTGATAAAATTTAGACACGAATGCTTGGACATTCAGATACTAATGCTTGGAACCGTTACCATTTACAGTATTCCACAGCAGGCATGGAATATGTTTTAGAATGAATACTATATTCTCCTACTGAACTATGTTAGCTTAACTTTCCTCCCAAATACAACCTGAGATAAGGGCTTGCAAGTGAGTGGTCTATTTTGGTAAGTGACAGCAAGGAACAGGAGACAGAGGGCCTGAGAAGGATGAAATAAGGGAGGATGGAATTCAACCCAAGGATGCATTATCAAGATCATCACTTCTGTGGCATCTGCTACTTGATCCCACTAGGGACCCACTGTGAAGCCAAAGAATGCACCACAGAATTATCTTCTCCATGGATGGGAGAGAAAGGATTTATCCACATTCTCCCACCCCTTTTAGCCAACGGTTGCCCCATGAAAGTGTTAACTTGAGATTTACTTCTGTGTCAGTATGGCTGTGGGTGTCCTGTTGCAGCAGAGAGGCCCTGGGACAGAACCGAGAGATGTAGGATTCAGTTGAGGTGCGAAGCTATCAGGTTACACTGTGTGCAGGCGATTGCCATAGTAATGGCTGGAGCTGAAAGGTGGACTGAGGAAAATGTGAAGGAAGGGTAGCATGAGACAAGAGGCAGCTACGACTAGCAGTATCCTAAACCAATACGTGCACATGGAGTGATCTGACACAAGTTCAAAAGTATGACATATTGCAAAAATTGTATTGAATTTTTATAAAATTTGTTCATCACATACAATAAATTATGCAATTTTTATTGCATGGCAAACACTATACAAACATCATCATTATTTCATTTAATCCTCAAAACAATCCTTAGAGTAGACATATCTCAGCAATTCTCAACCAGGAGTGACTTGCCCTCCCAGGGACAAGGAGCCGTGTCTAGAGACATTTTTGGCTGTTACAATTGGAATGCTATTACCATCTAGTGAGTAAAGGTCAGAGATACTACTAAACATTCTGCAATGCATAGGACAGACTTCCACAACAGAGAATTTTCCAGCCCAAAATGTGAATACTGCTGAGGCTGAGAAATCCTAGTGTGACACTATCCCCACTTTACAGTCAAAGAAACTGAGGCCAAATGAGAAAATGAGATTATGTAAATTTCCTTGGGTGAGGCTAGTGAGCAATGGAGTTGGGATACAAATTGTGGTCTGACTTTAAAGCCCATGCATACATGTAAACTTACTGTACTGCCTCCCTACTGATGAAGAACTTTGTTCCTTAGTTCAGCTAAAACAGTTCTTGTCACACGACCAGGAAAAGTTAGGCATGCAGACACAATAAAGGGAGAGGGAAATGAAATTTACTGGGCAAAAAGGAAAAAAACTTTTGGCAAAGCGAGAGGCCCCCACCTCACAGATTCATTCCAGGCCACACATAGGGACTGAAGTGCCCAGGCTCCTCCTCACTGCCAGCGGTTGCTTCCAACTTGCTGTGGCTCTAACCCCATTTTTCCAGTGTGCAGGTGGGTCAGAGGTTCTCTGGGGACGTCCCCTTATCTTTTTCCTGCATCAATCACTACCACAGGGAAAGTACATGTGCATTAAAAAAAGCACATGTGAAAGGCACAATGTAAATGCTTTGTATGTCGGTTATTATAGCAATCATAACAGAGAGTTGAAAAATGCAGATAATGATTAGAAATCCTTAATATTTTGATTTTATAACACATTCGTAGTCAGAAAACTGAAAGGATCTGACCATTCAAAGGTCACATGTATTCTCAGCCTTTCTTGTCACTCTCTCATGCTACCACATCAATGCAGGTCACATGAAAAGGAATGTAGTATCTGGAGGTTGTACATTTGGAAAACATGAGATTATTTTAGCATTCAGAAACAAAGCACATATTTTCAGAAGTAGATTCCTTGTCCACAATGTGTTTTCCACCTGCCCCTCCTTTGTAACACAGCAGTTTATGATCACTCACAACTTTCAGACTCATTAATTTTCAAATAAATCTATTATTATTCATTAAAGTAGCTTCACTGAGCCAAGTCCAAGGCTGGCCATCATTATGTCTTTCACTTGCCAGTAGTCAGGGTTGTGTTCCAAGAGAACCTCGTAAAAGGGTATTCTGACGGAGAATAAATAGAAGGGCAGAGCAGGAAATAACACACAGGCTTTGACCTTTTTCCTCTAGTAAGAGTTGTATCTAAAGTAAGGCAGATCACCTTCTTGGAGGGAGGAGAGTAGGAAATGAGTGGATACAGTGTCAGCTTTACAGGTTGACAGACTTGAATTGGGATCCCAGCTATGCCATATAACGTAGGGCCTGGGCAAGTCACTTAGTTTTCCTAAGTTTTAATTTCCTAAACTATAAAACTGGGGCAATAATGCCTAGCATACTGTAGGTATTCGATAAACATTAGCTATAATATTTCTTTAAGTCCCCAAGTACAGAAAGTTGAATTAATCATATTCTTTGATTCATTTTATATGATTCTCACAGGTCTGTGCACATTCTATATTATACTGTATTGTCTTTTGCTTTCTCTTCCTCTGCCCCATTCACATTCCTGTTTTATTCCCTTATATAAGTACTTAATCTATTGTGTCTCTTCTTGGACATATACATTTACTTAAAAAATTAGTATGTATCCCATATGCAGGTTTTAAAAATTAGTGTAATGTTTTATCATTGTATAGCTCTCAACCTTTTTTTAAGCTTTTCCTTTATCCAACACAGTGTGTTTAAGATCTATTCATGTTGCTAAATTTATATTTATGTCATTATTCCTGAATGTTAGCCTAGTAATCCACTCCATATGTCTACCACATTTTACCTACCTGTTGCTCTTTCTGATGGGCATATAAGCGCCCCAAACTACCTGCCACTCCAATAATACTCTGATGAACAGCCTGTGTATGTGCCCTTATAACTTCAACACAAGCTTTTCAACAAATCCAGTTTGCTATTTAATAAAATTCTACATACATTTATAATTAAAAGAATATTAGAAAAGCAGGACTAGAAGAAAGCTTTCTCAAGATGATAAAGACTATAAATTAGTTATTTATAGCAAATATCAAACAAAATGGAGGCATTTCAGTCTCTTTGAAATCAGAAAGAAAACAAGAATTCCAACTACCACAGTAACCTTCAACATTGTACTGAAAAATCTGGGCAACATAAGACAAGAAAAACAAAAAGAAAAAGAATAAGTGATGAGACAAAATTCTTATTATTTGTAGATGATATGATTATCTACATACAAATTCAATGAAATCAAAAGACAAGCTCTAAGAACTGAGGAATTCAGCAAGCTTGATAAACAATATCAACTTTACAAAAACCAGTATCATATGTCTACACTAATAATTACCAAGTATGAAACATGACAAGAAGATACAGTTCACAGTAGTAACAAAAACTATGAAATTTTCAAAAGTTCTCAGTACATGAGACTTTTATGAAAAAATTAAACTCTATTAAAAGATACAAAGAGAAACTTGAATAAATGGAGGAATTTAACATTGTGAAGATGTAAGTTCTTCCTAAATTGATTTATATATCGAATACAATGCTCTTGAAATTTAAGCAAGATATTTAAAGACACTTGATAAACTTATTTTAAAATTTATATGGAAGAATAAAGTTTGTGAATAAATAAATCAGGTGGAAAAAAATGATCAAAGAGCAAAGACTAATCCCACAAGATTTTATGAATAATACAAAGTGTTAAACTGCTGATGCAGAAATGGAAGGGTCAGAGTAGATCTATGTATACATGGGAATTTGCTGGAGATGGCTTCACAAACTATTAGAGAAAGTATATGCTATTTAATAGATGATGTCAAGGAATAATGGCTCACTATATGGAGATAAAGTTGGACCTCTATCTCACTCACATATATACCTACATATGTGTGAGTGTAAATTCCTGAAGGATAGAAGATACTTAACTGTGAACAGTAAACTTACAAAGTTAATAAAAAGAAAGTATCATATCATGCCTTGTCCTTGTGATAAGTGGAATTTTCTTTTAAAAATACCCAAAAAGCACACATTTTTAAATGGCTGAGTTTGACAACATTAACATTTAAAATTACAGTTAAAGCACTGTATAGTAAAAATTAACAAGTGATAGACTGGAAGTAGATATTTGCAATTTTTTTACAAAAAGGTTTCTTCCAAATCACAAAGATGAGAAACTATTTTTTAAATGGGCAACGGAAGAGACAGGCAATTTGCAGAATGGAAGACTCCAAAACTATCACACTTATGAAGAGGTACTTACACTCATTGGTGAGCAGAAAACACAAACTGAAAAAAAAAATTGTTTGATGCCACCCAATAGACATAAGATTTGCAAAAATTTAAAAGCTGGATAATGCCAAATTTGGGGGTGGGGGTGGAGTTAATGGGAAGAAAAAGGAAGTCCTGCCCAGGCCCACGTGCTCGCGCCAATCCCCACGCCCCTGCGCGCCTTCTCCACCCACGCACGAGCCTCGGAGGCATTTCTGGCCCTGCGTAGCTTGGGGTTGCCGGACATCCACCGCTTCCAGGCACAGTTTCGCCCTTGCAGCCTCACTATCTGTAGCCAAGGCCAAACACACCCTAACTGAGACTTTGCAGCTCTTGTGGCCACTCTGGGCTCACCGGAAACATGAGTGGAAGGGCCCGAGCGAGGGCCAGAGGCGTCGCCCGCAGCAGCTTCAAAGCCACAGAAGTGGGGCGCACACAAGCCTCGTCGTTGGTGTGTAGAATGCTTATTGCGCATGGTTTCATTTTCTCCTCCCTCTCTGGTTTGAACAATGCCTTGCTCTGCATGTGTCACCTCCTCTCTGTTGCGAAGTAGTGCGTTGTCTTTTCTGTCAAGTTTGAGTCTTACCAAGGTTTCTTCTCATAGCTTTTTTCCTTCTAAGGGATCTTGTCTGAGTAAGATATTAATGTAGGTATATTAGCCAGTAAAGAGGACTGAACACTGGGGACCAATATGTCATTCTCTTCTACTTTCTAAGTTTTAATTTCATGATTTGGTTTTAAGTTGCCTGGTAAAAAGTGATTTGCCTTCATAACATTACACGGCATATAATCTAATGCAGTTTGTCTAGCTAATTAGTATTTAAAAATAAATACTCTCATACAAGCGGTTTAAACTACTGTTTCTTGAGCAACCACTATAAGGAAAGCTCCTTGCTGGATTTAGGCAACTAGATTGAATTTACCTGCCAATAAGCAACTATGGAGTAATGTCATTAACACAACTACATATTCTTAGCATTTGGAGCAAGTATTCAAATGAGTAGTTTGTGGTCCTTATGCCTTTTTTCTCATGGAGTGGTCTTCTCTGGACTTTGTTCATTTTTTAGCAGGCCAAGATATAGTAACTTCCTGAACAAAGAGAAGTAGCCACTGTGAAAAGAGAGAGTACTGATGGTTTCCTTGGCCTGTTTTGTGAACCTGTTTTGGCCCAGTTTATTCAGGCAGTCACGATCTGAGCTGCTGACCCGGGTCTCTCTGTTCATTTTCTGTCCATGGGCCATGGAAGCATGAGGTCCATGTGCCTGTGTGCTGCCTGCCCTCTGGTGGGCTCCCTGGGCACAAGAATCTCACCTCTGCCTCTTTGCACCTCCAGCTATATCTGGCGACAGTTGGTACTACAGTCAAAGTTTGATGACTGAGTTTCAACCTCCGCCTTGCTTGAACCCGGGAGGCGGAGGCTGTAGTGAGCCAAGACTGTGCCATTGCACTCCAGCCCGGGCAACAAAGTGAGACTTAAAAATAAATAAATAATAAAAATAAAAAGTTTGATGACTGAGGAAAACTATAGTGTGTTCTCCTTTTTTCTAGAATGGGCACTCTCTTCTCATCTCTCAAAGGTTTTACCTGTTACCATTTTCTTTGCCTAGTTCATGGTAATCTAATGACCTGACACTGTTCTTAGGATAATCTTTTGGTTTGTGACTTACCATTGTAAATTGGAACAAAACTTTTTTTTTTTTTCTGGCCATTTTAGCCTACATCTGTTGATCTTAGTAACAATGAAGCATCCTCTAGCAGTGGCTTCATGGGAACAAGCAGGATTTCAACAAACCGTGAGTGCGACTCAGCCTGTTCATTTAGTTCCATTCACTGTAAATGGAGCAAGAGGAGCCCTACTAGGCCTTACAGCAGCAGGCTCACCTCTTGCACTTCCCGATTTCCTTTCCTTGAGGGAATCCCTTTGTCATGTTCCTTTGAGACTCTTCAACATGGAAGCATGTGCTGCATTTCCTGGCAGTGTTTGGTAGACAGGAAGCCACAGATATTAGGAAGTCAGTTTCCGTTTCTTTCTATTCACTGAAGAATTTTGAAAAAAATGCTTTAAAAATCTTTATGGTGTTGTATAGAAATAGCATTTGATCCAGTAACCCCACTGCTGGCTATCTGCCCAAAGTAAAATAAATCGTTATATCCAAAATATATCTGCACTTGTATGTTTATTTCAGCACTCTTCACAATAACAAAGATATAAAATCAACTTAAATATCCATCAATGGATAATTAAAGAAAATACGGTATACATATATAAGACAATACTACTCAGCCATAAAAAGAATGAAAGCATGTCTTGTAGCAGCATGGATGGAATTGGAGGCCATTATCTTAAGTGAAATAATTCAGAAACAGAAAGTCAAATACTGCATGTTCTTTTTTTTTTTTTGCTATTTTAACGTAACTATTTTCTTGTTAAAATTATTAACTATAATTTTGATAACACCTAGATTTTTTTTTTTAAGATGGAGTTTCACTCTTGTTGCCCAGGCTAGAGTACAATGGCATGATTTCTGCTCATTGCAACGTCCTTCTCCTGAGTTCAAGTGTTTCTCCTGCCTCAGCCTCCCAAGTAGCTGGGATTATAGGCGCACAACACCACATCCTAATTTTTGGTATTTTTAGTAGAGACATGTTTTCACCATGTTGGCCAGGCTGGTCTCAAACTCCTGACCTCAGGTGATTTGCCTGCCTTGGCCTCCCAAAGTACTGGGATTACAGGGGCGAGCCGCCGCACCTGGCCTGTATGTTCTTACTTGTAAGTGGAGGCTAAATAATATGTACACCTGGACATACAGTGTGGAGTAATAGACACTGGAGACTCAGAAGGTTGGGAGGGGAGTGAGAAATTGCTTAATGGGTGCAATGTACATTATTGAGATGACGGTTACACTAAAAGCCCAGACTTTACACTCTGCAATATATTCATGTAACAAAACTGTACTCGTATGCCTTAAATTTATATGAATTTTTCAAAAGGCAAAAAAAAATCTGAATGGCATATAAATGCCAAAGCCATTGCTTGGAAGGATGGTAGAAACCTGGTACACGCATAGCCACTGCTCTTTTTTCCCCCTCCTGTGGCAAACATCACTATTCAATGGTAGCTCTCTTCACTGCAAAGCCAGATTTGGTCTTAGGATACTTGCCAACATGCTACTCCAAGTCACCACAATCACACATTGTGCCCCATGTGTTAGTCTGCTAGGGCTGCCCTGACAAAGTAGCACCAATTAGGTGGCTTAATCAGCAGAAATTTATTTTCTCACAAATCTGGACTCTTAAAGTCCGAGATAAGGTGGGGACAGGGCTGGTTTCTTCTGAGAACCCTCTCCCTGTCTTCTAGATGGCTGTCTTCTACTCGTGTTCACATGATCTTTCCTCTGCATTTCTGTGTCCTAATTCCTCTTCTTATGACACCAGTCATAGTGGATTAGGAACCACCTTAATGACCTCACTTTAACTTAATCACCTATTTAAAAACCCTGTCTTCAAATACGGTGACATTCTGAGGCACTGGGGATTAGGACTTCAACATATGAATTTTGAGGTAACACAATGTAGCCCATGACCCTGAATAAAACCAGTTAGCCATCTCTCTTGTTCTACCACAACGTTTTTTATTTCCACAGTGACTGATTTCTAGTAAATGTGGAAACTCTAAGCACTTAGCTTCTCCCAGACTCTGAGGGTCTGGTCCCCTAAGCATTTAGGTTCTCCCAGACTCTGAAGGTCAGGTCCCCTGATGCATCTTATGTCTGATTCTACTGTTCCTCACTGGGAGTTTTCCAGTCCTATGTACGTACCCCTGTGATCCAAACACACAAATGAATGTACAGCCTGTGAGCACAGAAGCCCTGCTCTAACAGGCCCAGTGCGTTCCATTATTTTCAAACATTATTCCATCCTTGCGAATGCTTTTTCATATCTGCCACACATTCTCATGAATGTGAGTGATGAAAATCCTTCAACCTTGGAGGGCAAATTGGAGTTTATTTATTTATTTAAAAATATATATAATATATAATTTACCACTTTAATTACTTTTAAATGTACAGTCTCGGGAGATGAACTTCATTTGTATTGTTGTACAACCATCCCTACCATCCAACTCTAGATCTTTTTTCACCTTGCAAAATGGAAACTATGTATTTATTAATAACTCCCATTCCCCCATCCCTCCAGCTCCTGGTAAATGTCATACTCTGGTAGCTTGAATTTTCAGAAACTACCTAACATCTTTTGAAACCAAGAGCAATGGCTTATATGGACAATCTAGTGAGGGTAATAGAATTAAAGATTACATATATTTTGTGATTTTTCTGGGAAACTTAGACTCCACTGAGCAGGGGCAAGACAGCATTTGAGCCAGTAGCAGTTCCATGTAGGGTGGTTTTATACAGTGACTACATCAAAGGCAGTGGTCATGTCAGAGTTCTAGAAATTAATATTACTTTGCAGTAACATTTTGTATTTTTATATTTTAAAGTTATTTTCTACATGCCAAAAAAAAAGTCAGCATGTACTGTACTAATTTAAACAGAAAATACTCATTTGGAAACAGATTTTAATTTCATGTTTTCTAGAAGCTATCAGTAAGGGATACGCTCTGAGGTGAAACACTGGCTTTTATTCTCATGGGGAATGATCTAGAAAAAAAACTGATGGTAATGTTCTAGGCAGTTTCTCTTCTTTTCACTGGGAAAGGTCAGAGATTCAGCCTCTTTCTGGGCAGAAGTTGATGAGGACAGAATTTAGTCTGTAACTCTTCAGGGTGTTATATAAGAGGTAAGGTCAGGAGAGCTGCCTTCCATAAATAGGTATGGAGAAGGGAATGGGGAGGGAGAGCTTTTTCCTTAGCCAAGAAGAGAAAGTCTACAATATTACTAGAACAAGAACTAACTCAATATCTGTTTTTGTTTTTGTGAGACAGGGTTTTGCCCTGTCGCCCAGGTTGGAGTGCAGATGTGACCATGGCTCACTGCTACCTCTGCCTTCTGGGCTTAAGCGATCCTCCCACATCTGCCTAGGAACATGCCACCACGCCCAGCTGATTTTTTGTGTTTTTGGTAGAGACAGGGTTTCAACGTGTTGCCCAGGCTGGCTTCTAACTCCTAAGCTCAAGCAATCTGCCTGCCATGACTCCTAAAGTACTGGGTGGGACTACAGTTATGAGTCACCACACAGGGCCAAGATCTGTTATTTTTAACAAAACAGTCTGTGTTTTCTTCACAGTTTTCCATTTTTAGACTGAAGACTTCTGTATAGTCATGAATGTTTTCAGCAGTATCGGCAAGCTGCATTCAAAACCACAAGCTTTGATTGCACTGCATTTTTGAGATAGTAGTTGTAAACAGCATCACTAGAATGAAATATGAGCTGTTACTGCATTCTCTTCATATTTTAGGTAAATATGAGATATCTTCTTGTGATGCTGGAAGTACCTTCATGGAAAGAGGTGTGAAAAATAAACGGGACTTCATGGATTTGGATATCTGTACCAGAGAAAAATTGGCACATGTGAGAGACTGTAAAACAGGTACCCAGTTTTATGTTACTTACTTTTTAATGTTACCAAATCTTGCTTAAGGAATTCCACCTTCTAGGTCTAAAATAAATAAATTCATATGTTTGCTTAACAGATATTTACTGAACATCTGCTATGTTCAAGGCACTGTTAGAAGCTTTAGTTTTCCTAGCCTTAATTTTCTCTTTTATTAATAGAAATAATGTCTTCCCCAAAACGACATCTCACTTTTGGAAAAGATTTTCTTCATATACTGGAGTGGGAATTAAAAAGATGTTTCTTCTTCTTCCGGGGAGTAATAACCTTTCTGGACTTCAACTGTAAAATGAAAGATGTAACCTATTTGGGGAATTTTTTACCCAGATTCCCGGCTCACCCCTAAAATTACATGCAAACTGCCAGTATACATATTTTCTGGAAAGTAGGTCTGTTGTTTTCATTGGATTCTCAAAAGGCTTTGTGGACCCCTTACGAAAGTTAAAACTCACTGATGCAGATCAGTGTCTTCCAAACTTTTTAAACCAAAATAACAAATATATTATTATCCAGCATACACACAAACTGTCCACACACAATTGAAGCAAAGTTTCATGAAACAATGCTTACCCTTACTACATGCCAGGCACTCTCTTCCACTGTTTTATTCTGGTCATTTCATTAAACATGCAGTTCACCCCACCTGATTTCTTAACTGCAGCACTAATGGGACCCAGCAGCCATTTGAAAACTATCATGTGTAGACGATCTTGAAGGGTCTTACCAGTTCTGACAGTCTAGGTTGACTACTTTTTAGTTACATGAGCAGCTAAAATATGCTGCTTTGTCATTTCCTCAATATCTGTGAGAACAAAAGAGATATTTTATTTAACTAAAATAGCACTAAGATTTCTTGTTCCTACCAGGTATATACCCAAAGTGGAAGCTGAGGAAATACTGAAGCACAGCTGATATCTTGTATTCCTCACCACCTTGGAGTCTCTAGTTTGCTTTCCTCCATGAGAAAAGCAAATACAGTGCCTAGTCTATATCATTCTTTTCTTTTTCTGAGACAGGGTCTCACTCTGTTGCCCAGGCTGGAATACAGTGGTGCAATCTTGGTTCACTGCAGGCTCTGCCTTCCAGTTCAAGCGATTCTTGTGCCTCAGCCTCCCAAGTAGCTGGAATTACAGGCATGGGCCACAATGCCCAGCTATTTTTGCATTTTTTGAAGAGACAGCATCTTGCCAGGTTGGCCAGGCTGGTCTCGATCTGCTGGCCTCAAGCAGTCCACCCACCTCAGCCTTCCAAAGTGCTAGGGTTACAGGTGTGAGCCACCATGCCTGGTCCCTATATCATTCTTCTCTGTAAGACCAAAACTGGATGATTCTCTGTAAGGCGAAGTGAGAAGAACCTCCTTCGTTCCCTCCTGGATTCTGCCCTGGGGGGAACTTACACCATCCTGAGCACTAACTGACTATATCGTGGCCAACTCTAATTTTGTCCTATAGATTTTTAAGATGTGAATTAAAATGTCTGTGTGGGGCTGGAAGTCTTGGAAGCACACATGGCCTCCATGTGTCTGCAGAAAACAAAAGCCCAGAAGCTCTGTCTGCTTTCGCATAGGAAAAATGACAGTTCCTTCCTCTCTCCCCGGCCTTCCCCTCAATCTCTGAGGGTCTTCTCTGAGATTGTTTGGTCTAACCACTGATAGAAGTTTTTCAGAATTTTCAGAAATATGATTAACTTTTGATTATCTGGATTTCCCAGAGGTTGGGGATAGTATATTCATAGTAAGAACCAGACTGTTTCTTTATGACAGCAGTATAATTTCAGAGCAGCTTCTGAAAATATTACTTGAACTGATTTGAATTACAGAGAATGAGAGTAGGAAGGCAGGTTTTGAAAGGCGTCCCGGAATGGTTGAGTTCAGATGTTTCTTGTCTCCCAAGGACAGGAGTGTCAGTGTCTGCTCTGTTCTTATGAGGCCTGCTTCTTGCATGGTACCATTTTAGCTCCCAACGGTGTTATCAGGCTGCAAGTTTTAGGGTGTATCTTGCATCACTGTGCAAAAATCTTTGCTTTATAGCAACTATTATGCATATGCAAATACATTTTAAATGATGTGATTAATATTAATATGTGATTTCTTGATTAAAAAATTATTTTTTATTTGTCTTCTTCAGGTTCCAGTGGAATACCTGTGAAACTGGTTACAAACCTCTTTAACTTAGATTTTCCCCAAGACTGGCAGCTATACCAGTACCATGTGACATATCTACCCGATTTAGCGTCTAGAAGGCTGAGAATTGCTTTACTTTATAGTCATAGTAAACTTTCTGACAAAGCAAAAGCATTCGATGGTGCCATGCTTTTTCTGTCACAAAAGCTAGAAGAAAAGGTATAGTATGATTAGTTTTTTCACTATATGTGTGGGTGTGTGTGTTTATGTGCCTACACATACATACACACAAGCATATGCAAGGAGACTCCAAAAGGTTTGTGGAAAAATAGAATTAAAAGGTAAACATAAAAAAATACCTTTATTGCTTACCAAGAGTTTTACCAAGGTCAAGATACTTTTGTAAGCAATGATGTCAGCCATTTAGTCCATATCTAAAGAACTAAGGGTCCTGAGAGTTTAACCATGTCAATGCAGTCTTTTTTACCTTATTAATTAAAGAAAAATGGGTGCCCTTTACAGATTTTTTAAGATTATAAAACAAAAAGAAGGAAGAAGGAGCCAAATCAGCAGTAAGGTGGATGCCTAATGATTTCTATTGAAACTTTTGCAAACTTGCCCTTGTTTGTTGAGAAGAATGAGCAAGACCATTGTTGTTGTGGTGCAGAAGGACTCTCCAGGGAATTTTCCTGGGCATTTTTGTGCTCAAGATTTGGCAAAATTTCTCAAAACACTTTCCTAATAATTGGATGTTACTAGTCTTTGGCCCTCTAGAAAGTTAACAAGCAAACTGCCTTGAGCATCTCAAGAAACTACTGCCATGACCTTTGCTCTTAATGGGTTGGCTTTTGCTTTGATTGGACTACTTCCCCCTCTCAATAGCCATTCCTCTAATTGTGCTTTGTCTTCAAGATCGTACTGGTAAAGGCAGGTTTCATCTCCTCTTAACAGTTTTTTGAAGAAATGCTTCAGGATCTTGATACCATTTGTTTAAAATTTTTATTGACAGCTCTGTTCTTATCTATAGCTGATCTGAATGCAATAGTTTTGGCAACCATCAAATGGAAAGTTTGCTCAACTTTAATTTTTCTTTTTTCTTTTTTTTTGAGACAGAGTCTCGCTCTGTTGCCCAGGCTGGAGTGTAGTGATGTGGTCTCGGCTCACTGCAACCTCTGCCTCCTGAGCTCAAGCGATTCTCCTGCCTCACCCTCCCACGTAGCTGGGACTACAGGTGCTTGCCACCACGCCTGGCTAACTTTTTGTAGTTTTAGTAAAGATGGGGTTTCACCATGTTGGCCAGGATGATCTCGAACTCCTGACCTCATGATCCACCCGCCTTGGCCTCCCAAAGTGCTAGGATTACAGGTGTGAGCCACCACGCCTGGCTCAACTTTAATTTTTTAGTCAGAATTGTATAAAATAAACAAATTGAGATGTCTGTGGTATTGGCTATTGTTTCTGCTGTTAATCTTTGGTCTTCTCAATTAGGCATGAACAAGATGATTTTTTTTTTCTTTCCAAATTTGTACAGATGATCTGCAGCAGGCCTCATCTTCAACACTGTCTCATCCATTCTTAAAATGAGTTACCCATTCGTAAACTGCTGATTTCTTTGGGGCATTGGTTCCACAAACTTTTCATTACACATCAATGATTTCGCCATTCTTCTACCCAAGTATCACCAAAAATTTGACATTTGTTCTGGTTTCAAGTTTAGCATAATTCATATTGCTCTAATAGGGGCTCTTTTCAAACTCATGTCTTATACTTAGTGGCTCACACTGAATCCTGTTAGTATGAGTTTATTTTGGTGCTGAAATTTAGTGCAAGTTAGTATGAGTTTATTTTGGTGCAAATAGTTTTGAAATCCATGCATAGTTTTTCATAATATGTATTTTCCATGAACTTTTTGAAGTCTCCTTATATATACTTATGTATTTAAGAGATTAGTTGATTTTCATGACAATTGGAATGAGTATTTGACTCATTCCTTTCCTCTTTCCTGTTCCCTTGCCTGAGAGCTAAAAGACTTCCTAATTAAGACTTCACTAGTAATTGATTTCTTAATTAAGAAGCTGATGGTCTAGTATTTTAAAAATAAGAGCTATAAGTGTCCTTGAAATATGTATCTTTAAAAAAATTCCCAAAGTAGGTAAGACTAAGAAACACCATTTGGCCTATGGCTTCAGAACTTTAAATTAATTCTACTTGTATTTTGCTCCTGCACACTTGTGGCTGTATGTACAAATAATTTTACATCAATTTTTGATGCTAGGACTGTCATTTATTTCATGAATTGCTCTATCACATGAAATATGAGTTATTTATATCAATTTTAAAAGTTCCTACACATGTCCTAGGATTCTTATCTAAGTTGAAACATCCCCTCCACTAGTTGACTCCTTGCACTCCTAGGAGTTCCAGAAGTTCTGTTCAGCTGCCTCGTGGCCTTCCACTGTTTTCCAGGCCCCATCTGTGCACCTGCAGCCAGACCGCTGTTGCTATTCATGTTTGTATGTATTTGCCACTCTCATATACTTATGAAGAGCCTACTCTGAACCTGGCAGGGTGTTGCGACCATGGAGCAAACAAAGATAGATAAAACAGAGTACTTGTTCTCCACAATTTCAATTTAGAATCAAAGGTTTTTTTTTTTTTTTTTTTTTACAAATAAATACTATGTAAGGTGAAATGAAATAAGTGCCATAATAGTAACTAGTATCTTTATTATGCTATCATTTATTAAGCACTTACTAGGTGTTAAGTACTGTCCTTCACTGTTCCCCAGATTACCACCAGAATACCTCTCTTGAGCAGATCTGTACTTTGTGTCCCATGAGTAGCTGCTACCATCACTGCTAATAACAATTACACCTACCAGATATGTGTTGATCACTTACTCCGTCAGGCTCTTTGTTTTTTTCTTGAGACGGAGTTTTGCTCTTGTCACCCAGGCTGGAGTGCAATGGCGCAATCTCGGCTCACTGCAACCTCTGCCTCCTGGGTTCAAGCAATTCTCCTGCCTTAGCCTCCTAAGTAGCTGGGATAACAGGCACCTGCCACCACACCCGGCTAATTTTTGTATTTTTAGTAGAGACAGGGTTTCACCACGTTGGCCAGGCTGGCCTCGAACTCCTGACTTCAGGTGATCTGTCCACCCTGGCCTCCCAAAGTGCTGGGATTACAGGCATGAGCCACCGCCTGCCAGGCTCTTTATAGCATGACCTTATTTCACCCTGTCATCACCCTAGTGAGGTTAAATATCTTGCCCAAGGTTGTCATAAAGAGCTTGATGAAAGGCAAGATTATTCCTAGCAAGACACTTCAGTGGGAGTGATAGTTCCTTCTTAGTATTTTGATCAGTGAGGTGGACAGTGGGAGATATGAGATTCCTAGGCAGAAGAGGCAAACATGCAATGATAGGAAGTGAGGGCCATATTTTAGAAACTTTTGCTCATTCAGGTTTAGCCAGCAAGGTGTAGAAGTTGTGATTTCAAAGGTACAGAGAACTTTAAATATCCTGCCAAGGAATAGAGACTCTTCTGTGGACCACTGCAGACTTTGAGAGAGAGTTTTTATGGCAGCTGTGTTAAGTTACAGTTACTTTGATCACATCCTATTGAATGGTTTACACAGGAGGAGGTGGGAAGATTAATAAAGTGCCACTGAAATAGTGTGGGCAGGGTGTCAAAAGGGCTTGAACAGAGATACAAAGTGCTGCCATTTATTTGAATTCCCAAGTGCCTATGCAATGGCTGGAAATAAAATCAGTGCATTATCTCATTTAATTGTTGCAACCCTGTGACTCTAGTTAGACTCAGTACCACTTTAGAGATGGGGAAAGATGCTCCACATCACACCAGCTGTAAAAGGCAGAGGACCAGGGTCTATCCAATTTCACATCATGTGCTCTTTAGCACTGTGGTAAATAATGGTGTTTGAACAGCTGATAGATATCAGAGACATCCCTGGTGTACATACAGTAAGACTTGCCAACTGATGGGATTGTGAATTGAGAAGTGAAAGTTTGCTCTGACTGAAGGGTCTGAGGTCCAGTAAGAGATGTAGGAAGTAAAGGAAGAGTTGTTGTTTGGTGGAAGAGGTATGGGGGGCTGAAGAGTTTGATCTTAAGTGGGTGTTGAAAATGCAGTTCCTGAGACCATCTACTGCCACCTCCCCTCAACCACTCATTCCAACATCCTTAGTTGTCTTAATTCTTTGTCCCAAAGCCCCTGCAGCAATTTAAGCACTGGGCATCCTTTCTGTCTGCCAGATTTTCCCCAATGTTGATAAGCTCTTTCTACAGCTGTCCACTTCTGATTTCTGTACAGTTTTATCTGAAGCGAGAAATTATATGGATGAAATCTTACATCCCTGTGAGAGATTAGTTTCTCTTTGTTTCCATATAATGACCAGTTCCTGCCTTACATTCTTGATGCAACTTAAAAGTGGTTAAAAGCATACTGTAGCTGTAGAAAGTAGAGGCAGAATACATAAATGCTTGCTAATTAACTGACTTCATCTAATTCCTTATCCCTTTGAAAAGTCCATGATCATTCGTTGATATGTATTGATTGATTTGTATATTCTTTTATTTTAAGAACCTATTCTGAGTCCTTTCTGGTCCAAGAAGCTTTAAATGTAGTTGGGGAGCTGCTATAGAATCATATTCATGCATTCATTATATTGCTAGAACATTGTTCTGGGTTATAAGGACTCTAGGATTTCTCCAGGCCTTTCAGCAGCTTATAATCAGATTTCTGATCTGTTCTAATTTCTGCCACTTTCTCCTCTCTTTCCCCATGTTTACCTTCCTTCTTATTTATCCTCTCTCCTTTTTTTGCTTCTCTCTTGTTCTCTGCTCTTCTACATTATGAACAGACTTTTGGGAGGCTGTCCTCTGGAATCTGTGAACTTGGGATGGGCAGGACAGTCCACTAATGGGCTTCTGGATATTAATGAATACCCTGAAAATGGGTACAGTTATGTGCACTGTTGTGGTATATATATATATATACAGTATGTGTGTGTGTGTGTGTGTGTGTATATGATGTATGTATGTGTTTGTGTAAAATTTTATTGAAGAATATCTGTAACTTTTATCAGACTCGCAAAATAATTTGTGACCCATCTCCTTCCCACTCCCTAAAAAGATCAAGAACTACTGCTCTGAAACTCTCTTTGCACCAAACTCTGAACCACGAGTCTGGCTTTAATTCTCTCTTAAGAAGTTAGAGAGTAGAGAGATGAGTTTTTTCTAAGATTGGCAAGATAGAGAGAAAAAAAGCCCTCTGAACATAGTGTGATGATTAGATTATTACTCATATACTAACACCTGCAGTTTTTTGTTGATGCATATTACATTTTGATGGCTTTATAATATCTGCATTCTGCACACTTACGGTTAATTTGTAAAGTACATATTAAGTACCTCTTTTTCCCAGGTCACAGAATTATCAAGTGAAACTCAAAGAGGCGAGACTGTAAAGATGACTATCACCCTGAAGAGGGAGCTGCCATCAAGTTCTCCCATGTGCATCCAGGTCTTCAATATCATCTTCAGAAAGTAAGGCACTGGAAATATGAATTTCATTTGGAGTAATGATGCCTTTCAGCATAGAGCCTGGGTATTAAAATAATCGACAATTTTGTAGGCAGCGTGCCAGCAATATTAGGGCAATTTCTCACATACCTTCTCGTACATGAACGATAATGTGCAATGCAGTTCATTACAGCCACTCAGTGGCACAAACTGTCAATTAATATCCAGTATTATCCTAAGTTGAGACAAATAGTACGAGGGTTATTGCTTTCTCACTGGCAGCAAGGAGGGTGCCTTTTTCCTTTTCTTCTTTTTCTGTGTCTCTTCCCAGCTCTTATCCCCAGATGCAAAAGTTCACTTAGCAAACTTAATAAGTTTGACTTAATAAACTGAAGAATTTGTTTTTCTCCAAGCTGATTGATTTAAGAAAGAACATCACTGTCTGCTTTCTGCCCTGGCTCCGCTCTCAGCCCACTTCTTTCCCCCACATCTACATGGTTGTAACTCAACTTTTCAGTGTTCTGCAGACTGGTCCAAGAATCACATACTCCAACGTCTTCTTAGGGGTGGCGTGGAGCTCCATAAAAGGCATATTCCTTTGACCCTCACTAAATACAGTTAGTTAACAGAAATTCGCAGACAGGCCTGAAAATTCACATTTTTAGAATACACTGAAGCTTGAAAACTGCTAGTGTGGATCACTAAGATGATCTGTTAGAAACCTTACAGGCCAGTCCTTTGCTCAACGGTGACCCCTGGAAGGGATGAAGATGGGGAGGTTTGGGGATTTGCTGAGTCATAGGGGCACATCAAGATACTTCCCTCACCCAGATGTCCTAATTCCTAATTCTAGTCAGATGTCTTGTCTGGCACCTTTTGGTCATATTTGAGCCTCAGCTTACTGCATATCAGCTCTTCAGAAGCCAGTCTTGCATAGTCCCTGCTAAGCATGGACTCCTAAACCAGCTGACATTTGGAAGATGCTTTTCAGTGAGAAAGTTCTTTCATTTGTCTTCTAATCTTACTTTACCCTCACTACAGTACCCTGAGGCAAGTATTATTAAAATCCTGATTTTACAGATAAGGAGGCTGAGGCTTAGTGACATTTGGCAGCCAAAATCACAGTTCAAACCCTTGTTTTCTGACTTGAAACCCTCATGTAGGTCAGATTCCTAAGGTGACCAGGATTACTTTCTGGAGAGACTGTGTTGGTCATTTGGCAGCACCTGGGGAGCCTGAGCAACCTCATTAGAAATAAGATCCTCATCCCAAAATAGGGAAGAGGTCAAAAAGGCCTACAGGTGTTTACCTCACCCCATGCAGGCTAACCAGAATGTTAGTACTGTGGCCATATTGGCTAATTGACCACATATTTGATTGCAGCTAAGGCCGGACAGATAAAAATAATTTCAGTTGTAGTTTTCTCAGTATGAAGATGTCGTCATTCTTATATAGACATTCACATGTGTATTTAGTATCTGAACCTTCTAGTGCTGTGCAAATGAGAGGTCTGTATTTCCTATATATTTTTATCATTATGTTCAGCAAGGGTATGAACTTAGAATTTCAGTTATTGACTGATATTTACCAAAAATTCAAAAACTATATACTTACAGGATCCTCAAAAAATTGTCTATGTACCAAATTGGACGGAACTTCTATAATCCTTCAGAGCCAATGGAAATTCCCCAGCACAAGTAGGTTTATTTTGTTTCTCTAAAATTGTTATAATGTGAGCATCATAATTTACGATGCAGTATTATACCATTATGCCTTCTGTGAGAGACTCTGTAATAGGAAATGTAATGAATTTCTTTAAATTTCTTTAAGTTTTTTTAATGGTGATGTGAACATGAAGCTAGCAGCCTTGTTTTCTTATATTAGTGTGATAGATAATTATCATAAATCCTAGAAGGAATTCAGAAACTGAATTTTCTGTGTATAATAAGTGATAATGAAAGCAGAATGAGCTGTATCATACACATAGTCAGTGCTCCATTTCATTGTTAAAAGGACGTTAGCACAGCTAGGGTGGTTGATAGGAAATCATCAGGGCAGCAAAGGTCAGAAAGAGAAGCCAACCAAATGACTCTGGTGAAGGATAGAACCTTTATGACCCTTGCCGAATTTCTACCCTAAACTGAGAATTCGAGGCTTCGGGGAAAGTGGTCAGCTATGTCTTTAACTGGTTGTTACTTAGCTCTCAAAAATACTGTGGTCAAACTACATGCAGAGAGGCAGCTGGTAGCCCAAATGTAGAAACATAAAGAAAGGGAGAAGTGCATGAAAGATAGAAATAGGGTGCTTGGCCTTCTGCCTGGTGGAGGAAAAATGACGAAGTTTCCATATGTTCATTCAAAGTGTCAGCATGGTCTCTATAAAGCCTCCAGTTTGTCCCTATCACTAATCTGTCCACTTGGACTAGAAAATCTCATAGGTGCAGGGCTGTGCTGAATTACCGTAGGTGCCCAGCACATAGCCTGTCCTGGAGGCTGGCTTAGTATCATGGTGACTATTTATAGTCCACAAAATAGAAACTGGAATTATTTTTAAAAATATTAGTCTATTATTTCATGCCACTTCTGTAACTTCTTATTCAAGATTTTTAAGTTTATGTGGGAAGAAACTGTAGGCTGTGCTCCAGTTTCTCTTGTATATCTGTTTGTGATATCACTTCTGTATTTCTTAACCTCATTACTAAATCTATCCACTGCCCTCACCTTGGAACCTAGATGTTGTCCTGCAGGGACAGATCACTCCATGAACGTATTATTCCTACAGCTATAGTTCTCAGGCAGGGACATTTCCCCCGCACCGCAACCTCCTCTCCCAGGGAATGTTTTGTATTGTCTGGTGACATTTTTGGTTGGGAGGCTACTACTGGCATCCAGTGGGCAGAGGCCAGGGAGCTGCTGCTAAACATCCTACAGTGCACTGGACAGTCCCTAACAAAATGTTAGTGGTGCCAAGGTTGAGAAACTGCTTTACAGTAATGTATTTTATCCTAAACGTATGCTTAAAGACATTGCTGCTAAAGAAAAAGTTTTTAGTCAACAACTAGAAGAAATCAGACTAAAGAAAAAATTATCTTGTTAAGATCTCGAGAATTAGAACAGAAAATCACCATTTAAAAATCCTTATTGTGTTTCTGGTATAACACTGAAAATGTTTTTTACTTTTTTTGTTTTTAAAGATTATCCCTTTGGCCTGGGTTTGCCATTTCTGTATCATATTTTGAAAGCAAGCTCCTGTTTAGCGCGGATGTGAGTTACAAAGTCCTCCGGAATGAGACCGTTCTAGAATTCATGACTGCTCTCTGTCACAGAACTGGCTTGTCCTGTTTCACCCAGACATGTGAGAAGCAGCTAATAGGGCTCATTGTCCTTACAAGGTACAAGCCTGCCTCTAAATAAACTTTTCTTTAGAAATCAATTATTTATAGTATTTGGGAATAAGAATAGTGTTGAAGCATTGGCCCGGTATCACAGATCTAATCCCTTTACTCATCTGTTTAGAATACCTGGTTGTTTTGTTGTCCAGAGTTCACACGTCCTTGTGTGGCATTCTGAACCCTCCACAAGATGACGTCGTTCCAAATTCCCACTTGATATATCCTCCTTTCCCCCAATGCCACTCTATTCTAACCCCCAACAGTCTGCACTTTTCTGCTTCAGTTCAGTTCAATTCAATTATCTTCAGTTGCCTGGATTGCCCACTCCAAATTCTGCCTTTTAAATTTCAGCTTTCACAAAGCCCAACTTAAATATCCCAGGTTTGTGACACTTCCATTTGCCTGCTCTGTTGGAATTAATCAGCTTCCTCCCCTGGACTGCACCCATAGCACTTTGCTTATGGGTACCTTGTTATGGCCATTTTATTTCATTTTACAGGACAGAAGATTAGTTCCATGTCTCACCTTCTTTATTAGATTCAGGAGTCTTTTAAGTTGAGACCATGTTTTATTTCTTTGCAACCTCTAGTTATAAGCATGTAAAATTTGTCCTCATTGTACACTGAACTGAGTTAAACATGGACAATTTAGATGACTTCCTGAGGACTAAAAAGCTCACCATATACTGCTGCTAGTCCAAGAATACTTTTTAAAAAATTCTTAAGTTTTGGGATACATGTCCAGGATGTGCAGGTTTGTTACATAGGTAAATGTGTGCATGGTCGTTTGCTGCACCTGTCAACCCATCACCTAGGTATTAAACCCAGCATACGTTAGCTATTTTTCAGAATGCTTTCCCAACCCCGCCCCCCACCTCCCACCCCATACACAGTGCTGAAGGGGAGAAGGAACTTAGAATAATCTTAGCCAACCTGTTTCATAGTTTTGCCAAGGGCCAACCCTGGCAGGGTGATTAAGCAAGATGTCAGCATTGTGGGTTGATCAGCCTTCTTTTGGTGCTTTTTATCAGAAAACTACCTGGGAGGTCAGAAACTCTGAGTGACACCAGAAGATAATGGGAAAGTTTTGAGCAATGCTTCAGCGTCTGAATATTTAAGAATGATTTACCTGCTATTTCAGTATCTATCAGTGAGAAAAAAATAGACTGTGGTTTAAGGACTTTCTTACAGTTTTTTTTGGAATATGGACAGAAGTCTTCCTGTATACTAAATTATTAAGGAATGCCCTCTTCAGATAAGAGCTCAGCATTTTAAAAAAAGTGAATATTCTTGTTTTACTATCTTTCATAATTTCTGACATTCTGGAGTCTGATGTGTGTTGAATTAAAAGTTTGGTGAAATAGCTGCTTATGTTAGATGATTTTAAAATATTGTAAAGACTTTTTAATGTTTGCCAGATACAATAACAGAACCTACCGCATTGATGACATTGACTGGTCAGTGAGGCCCACGCACACCTTTCAGAAGCGGGATGGAACTGAGATCACTTACGTGGATTACTACAAGCAGGTAGGATTTTTCTTTATTCATCTTTATCTCCTTTCCTTTTACCTCAGAGAAGTTTCCTTATTCCAAGTCTCAAAGGTCCCCCAGATTGTAGGCTGGGTCTGCCTCCGACCTGTTCTCTGATTTGTCTCTCTCCTTCATCCCCACCATCCCGGTCATCCACTCATCCTGTCACCTGTTACCTTCTTCCTGTAGCCTAACTGTCCTTTAAAGTGTATCTGATCACATCGCTCCCAACATTAATGTTTCCATGTCTCCTCATTGCCTTAGGACCACATGTAAGCCCCTTAGCAGAGTTTCCAAGGTTCCTTACAGTGTGGCCAAATCTTGCCTTTAGAGCCTCGTCTCTTCCCATTCCCCTGCTTCCTTCCCTGGCTTTGTTGTAATTGCCTCTTCTGATTCCATGACTCAGTTCCCTGTGCATTTTCATGCATGTTGCTTCCTCTTCCTGGATACCCCTTCACAGCCAGATGAACACTAAACACCCTTGCAAACTCAGCTTAGCCATCAAGTCTTGAGGGAGCCCCATAGCATTCCTCCCAGGATCCCCTCCCTGTATCAAGTCACCACACAAATGGTCTGAGCCCCATCCTAGACACTGAGCTCTAGGGAGGGGGCTCCTTATTTTTGGATGCCCAGGGCTAGCTCAGTGCTTTGAGCATGTTAGATACTCAAGAAGCTGCTGATGTAATCTGTTGCTGCCTCTGGAAACTCTATTCAGATTTACAGCAGTTATCCCTGCCCCTCCTCTTCCATGTTCAATTCCTTTTGGAGGTGCCTTCTCTTTAATGTATTGTAATATTCAGGTTAAAACAACAAACAAACAAAAGCAAAAACCCTTCCTTGACCATTGTATACCTTCAGGAAAAGTTCTCTTTTCTCCTCTGCTAGCTTTAGAAAGTCATTCACACTAGCTCCAAGCACCTTTTCCATTCTTCCTTCCTGAAACCTCAGCAATCTGGTATCCAGTTCTGCTGCTTTAGAAGTAGTTCTACACAGGTCAAGTTCAGTTACTGTTCTTATCCTAAAGGGCTTTCAGTGCATTTGAAACCTGTGACCTCTCCCACCGGCTGGAACTGAGCTCTTCCTTCCTTGACTCCTGGGACACATCCCTGCAGTTCTTGGCTAGTTTCTGGTTGTTCTATCTTAGTCTCCTTTGACATCTTCCTCCTTCCTTCCCCATAAAGGAACCATTATTCACCATAGTTCCCTCATATAGAACCTTTTCAATGTATTTTGAGCTGGCTTAAATATAGTATCTTTGCCTTGCCCTCTTTCCTAAATTACATATTCATCTCCATTTCCAGACATATTTGCATGAATATCCTGCAGGCATCTCAGACTAATATAATTCAGACTGAATTAATGTCTTTCCCATTCCTGTTTCTCCTTGGAAATTCTGTAGCTCAGCTAGGAATAATTCTGCTTTTTTCCTCTTCTTCACTTTAACCTTGTCATTCAGTTGTCACCAAGATGAGTTCTGTATCTTATCCATGAATTTCTCTTGTCCAGCCCCATTCCCATTGCGTTAATGTAGGCCATCTCGTGGATCCCCCTCCCCCCACCATTGCTCTTTATGCCCTTTATTCCCCAGCTCTCTCCTCACTGTGATCCCTCATCCTCACAGCCATCAGAGAGATCTTTCTGAAGCGCTGCCAAGAAATCTGATTCAGAACGTAAGCTCTGGAGTAAGATGGTCCTGGCTCCAGCTGTGTGACCTTGGGTAAATCACTAAACCTAGAGTGTCATGTGTAAAGGAAATTTGTCTGTCTACCTTCATGGTGTGGTGTTAAGAACCAAACAAAATGATTATGCACACAGAATATTTAAGTGTGCCTACACTTTGTGAGCACTGGGAGAACAGTGGAGACCATGCCCTTCCTTTTCCGTCCTCTGCTTCTTCCTTTCCAGCATTGCATAAGTCTTACATTTCTGTCTTACATTTCTCAGCATCCCTACTATGCACCCCATGCCTTTAATGTCCCATCCACTCACAGGCCTACACCTTCCTCAGCCTTTGTGTGTGTTCAGTAGGCATCTGCAGAAAGCCACGCTGTACCTTTCTCCTTTACTCCGGGTCAAATCCTAGCTTCAAGGCCAAGTGTGAAGTCCTCTCTGCTTTGCTTTCTGTCACACAGATAGAAGAGCTAGCTGTTCTCTTCTCTAAGCACCTGTGCATTCATCACATTGCCTCTAGAACGCATATTCCTTGGAGAGCAAGGATGGCGTTTGGCTAATTCTTGATGCATAGTATCTAGCAAAGCATCTTATGCATAAAATATGTTCTGTGTTTATTAAATCCACAGTTTGTTAAACATTTGGGTTTCTTTCCTGCATAATTAAATTTATTCATATTTAAACAGAAGTATTTTAGGACCTGCGACATTCTGAAACAGGAATCATGGTAAAAATCCCACTCACTGTTTTTTGCAATCAATTGTGCTTCACTGCATGTATATTGTAATTAAGGAGGAAAAGAAAGAAAACTGTGTCAACTTCTAGTATGCCCTCCTCCCTGTCCCAGGAAAGGAAGACTGAATTATTATATAGTCAGTGTTCAAAGTGGAAGATATCCTGATATTGACCTTTATATTTCTCCATTTTATCTTATCATACAAAGTATTTTCAAATGCTAAGAAAACTGGGGCAAGGGAGAGGGTCACATTTACCTTTTGGAAGCAGCTTAGGTGGTAGAGTTCTTGACCATACTTCAGCTACAGTTCTTCTTACTGGAAGATGCAGTTTTGCTGGAGCTGTGACCTGAGAGTCCCCATACTCCCATGTTTTCTTCAAGGTCCTGTCTTGGTCTCCACTTGAATGGAGGCTTCCTTGACTTCCCAGCAGTTATTGTGTCACTACCACCATCTCCTCTTCCTCTCTGCCCCTCCCGCTCCAGCCCAGGGATTCAGTACTGAGTGGTATAACAAGCAGAATCTTAACAGATCCATCCTAGCTGTGCTAATTTCCAATTATGGAGCCTTGGGAAGATTGTTTAATTTTTCACAGTGTTTTTTCATCTGTGACAGGGACAGTAATAGTATCTTTTTCATAGGTTTGTTGTTAAGATTAAATGAGGAATAATGGAAGTGCTCAGCATATCATTGTTTGTGCTTCTCCTGGACCTCGCTTTGTAGATAATGTATTTATGCAGATAGGCAGAGATTGTGCCTCTTTTATCTTCATATCCACTGCCAATCCTGGAACACAGTAAGCACACCGTGTGTTCTGAATTAATGGAGTCACGTATACAAACTCACTTGATAAAGACTTCTCCAAGCTTTTTAGCCATAGCATCAGTTGCACTCATTACTTTGAAATGAGATTCTTGAATTGTTTTTTATTTTAATGACAAAGTTAATGACAAAGTTTTTCTTGAATTATAGAAATGCTCACATTTGACTTCTTTAATTATGATTATTGATGCCAGCATCCCAATACCCAGGCATTTTACAAATTATAATTCCAGTTGTTCTGTCACCAATGTGGATTAAATTATACTGGAAATGAGTGTTAATTGTAACCTTTGTCATTGGAGGGTAAAGAGCTTTTGCCAAGGTGAGAATGTTGACATTGAAGTTTAGGGTGGCAAAGGGAGAGGAATATGAACTAACAGTTGCCAGGGATTCATTATAAACCAGACCCCATGCTAGTAGTTTACGTACGACACCTGTGAGCTACTGTTATTCTTATTTCACAGATGAGGAAAGGTAAGTCACTTCCCCAGTGTCACAGCCCAAGCAAATAGAAGAGCTGGGGATCAAATTCACAGTTGTCAGACTTCTGGGCTGCTTCCCTGTAACATCCTACTATCCTAGAAGTTAAGGACAGTCATGCTCTTTTGGGAAATCTGAGATTCTCTCAATATAACTCACCTCCAGCTTGTGTATAGACATTTTCAAAATGAATATAGGTGTTTAGAACCAGATAGTTAAGCATGGGCAGTCTGCTTCAGTCATCAGTAGTGGAAATGCTGGCTTTGAGTCCGTCCTAGTGATGTCATTGAACTATGTATAGAACCAGCTAGAGTCTATTCTGAATCTGGCTGAAACCGAGAGACAGCAAGGGAAACAATATTTTTAATGGTGTTACATTAGAAAAGATAATTTAAATAATAAAACCGGCTCTCAGATATAAAAGATAGGTCCTGGGAAGAAAGTAGTAATAAGAAGGTAACCATAGCATTAGTTAAATTTCTTTTTATATTAATGTTAGGATCACCTTGTTGAATGTAAGGATGCTTATCTGGCAGTGCTTTCACATTAACTTTTCCCTCATTAATCTTGCATTTTATAGCAATATGATATTACCATATCTGACCTAAATCAGCCCGTACTTGTTAGTCTGTTAAAGCGGAAGAGATATGACAACAGTGAGGCTCAGCTCGCCCACCTGATACCTGAGCTCTGCTTTCTAACAGGTAATGTTTGTGTTTTATACCTCTGTCAGGCTCCTGGGTACAGGCTCCTGATGCTTGGCAGTGGGCACACTCTCCTTAAGTTACCTGAATGCCAGAGCATTGATGTAACTCATGGAAGATGGGCCTTTTAGGTAATTCATTCAATAGTAGAGACATGTTGGGGGACTCAAGTGCCCTTTAGAATCTATTTCCTTTATCTCATATGTTCCATTTATTGCTTTGATGTAAAATAGACCGCCGATACCATCCTAAAACCAAATTTATCTTTGCCATTATTTGAATTTACTAGTATAAGAAGCAATATAACTTTGATTTTCTTCAGGTGTATCAGTAGAGTGGTCCAGAATTATCCCTTACTTTCTTTTTGCATGAATTTTCCAGAATATAATCCTCACTATACAGTAAAATCTGAATAACTGCCTCGAGTACTTTTAACAATGTTCATTTGACTAATGGGTAGGCCTAGGAAGGGAGGACTTTCTAATTTTACATTAGTGTGTTGCTTGAGTAAGTTATGATGCATATATATCTATTTTGTCATTAGAACAATTAAGAGGAAGGGCCAGGCATGGTGGCTCATGCCTGTAATACTAGAGGCCAAGGCAGGTGGATCACCTGAGGTCAGGAATTCGAGACCAGCCTGGCCAACATGGTGAAACCCTATCTCTATTAAAAATAAAAAACTAGCAGGGCGTGGTGGTGCATGTCTGTAATCCCAGCTACTCAGAAGGCTGAGGCAGAAGCATCACTTGAACCCGAGAAGTGAAGGTTGCAGTAAGCTGAGATCATGCCATTGCACTCCAGCCTGGATGACAGAGCAAGATTCTGTCTCCAAAAGAAAAAAAAAGAAAAATTAATAAGGATATAATCCTTGAAGGGAGGGGTGTTCATTCTTTTTTTTTTTTAAGTCTTCCAACAGTTTGTTAGAAAGAATGTAGACATTTAAAAAAATCCCCACTGTCATGAACATAAATTGAGGTTTTCAGCCCTTGTATAAGCTGAATCAAAAAAAAAGAAATAAAAGATCCAATAGTGTATTAAACATTTTTCACTCATTTGCCATACTGACAGTGCAAATACAAATCTGGTCTAAATGTACAGACTTTCAAGCAGCAATGTACAGCTTTCTTCGTCCTCCATGCTAAGAGATGTAAAAGCTTAAGGGTCAAACAATACCAAATGTATAGGCTTCAAAAACCATCTAAGTTAGGGCATTCTCTAGTTTTAGCTAAGATACATCTGGAACATTGACAAGTGATCACTTACATAGAATAATGTGAAGTACATTTTTTTTTTTGAAAAATAAACTTTAGTGGAACAATCCTGAAGGGTAACGCTAGAGGAAGAGCAAGTTACCACCAGTAAGGTGTCAGCCAATTGTTCCAGCCACTTCTGAATCCATGTTCTATACTCTAGTTTTCCTTCCCTAAGCTTCCTATCATGTCAGTATCTATGTTATGAAGAAAAGGAGACTTAGGCGAAATGTTTTTATCATAACTGCTGCATCAATTGCCTAGGACCTCAACAGCTTCATGAAAGTCTGGGAAATGTTCATGCATAAGGTTATTGCCTTAGCTGACTTAAAATTGCCCCATACAATGGTACATATCAACCCTTAGTGAAGCCTTTTAAAAAACAAACAGGTTGAAAAATGGGTTAAAGTAGGCAAATACAGTATCTGCCTTTAGAGCTATCAACTCAGGAATTCTCTCAATTATGAAATCTTGCAGAGAAGTTATTTCTCAAAGTCCAGGTGATGACAATATTCATTACTCCAGATCTGGCATTTTTTCATCATCACCGTCTTGTGAATCATCATCTGCTCCATCTACTTCTGGTAAATCTACATCCTCATCACCACCCGTGTTGTTCATCATCTCAGAAAAACGATCAAAATTAGACATGTCTTCATCTGAATCGTCTTCCCAGTCTTCCCAATTATTGAAGTCCACACTAAGCCAATTAAGCTTTGCCCTTTCTTATGTTAACCTTGGCCATGACTGGCCAGATTCTCCTTTTCGTAAACAACATAAAATTGATCTGTCCGTTCTTTTATGCTTGGCATCATTTGGATCAATACAGTGAAAAAGATCAATTTCATTTAAATGCTTAAAATTATCACTTCCTCCAAGACAACTGAATGTAAGTTTGGATTTTTCAAAATTTACATTAACATCCTTACTGTCTTCAACACAAAATTCAATGAAGACATAGTCCCTTCGATCGTACCACTTTGCAGAAGCAGGCTGCATTGTGAACCGGGCAGAGGGGCGGGCGAACGGGTGGGCGGGCCTCTCTGGCGGCGGCTGCTGCTAAGAAGTCGACTTCTCTGCGGTGGTGACTCCGCGTTTTGTCCCCGGTCGCGGCCTCTTCTCACTTTCCTCAGGCGACCGCGGTAGCGGTGGGCTCGACCTAGCTCCCCAGAATGCCCCGCGGAAAGAGCGGCTCCTCCGGTCGGGGGGAAGAGGAGAGTGTAGGAAAAGGGGCTCGAGGATAGAGAATGAACGTGCGTGCGTGCGAACGAGGGGTGGTGAGCGGGTGTTCATTCTTAATGAACAACACCCTTGAAGGGAGGGGTGTTCTAATGTAGCAGGTCTGCAGGGCCCAATACAGTAGCCAGTAGAACATGAGTTTTTGAACACTTGAATTGGGACTAGCTCTACTAAAAGACTGAGAGGAAGTGTGCTTTAGGTGTAAAATCCAGCCCAGATTTGAAAGGCTTAGTATGAAAAAAAAAAAGAAGAAACTACCTCATAAATGTTTTTTGCTGATTACAGGTTGGAATAATATGTTGGATATACTGGGCTAAATAATATTTAAAGTAAATTCATCTGTTTCTTTTTTGACTTATCTTAAAATGTGTTTACCAGAAAACTTAAAATGACATACAGGGTTTTCATTTCTATTGGGTGTGCTATACAGATGGTGAATGTATTCAAGCAGTAAGGTTTAAACCGGGCCTGAGATGGACTCAGTTCCTTCTGTTCATTTTCTCACTTTGTCTTCATTTGCATTTAATAGGGCTGACTGAGCAGGCAACCTCTGATTTTCAGCTGATGAAGGCTGTGGCTGAAAAGATGCGTCTGAGTCCTTTGGGCCGGCAGCAGCGCCTGGCCAGGCTTGTGGACGACCTCCAGAGGTACTGGATCACCGCAGGTGAAACCACTATCATGCTAGTGGTTTCATAGATTTTTTTTCATGGTTATACTTTATATCATTTACCTTGGAGATCCCTCTGACTTATGCCGCATTGAGAAGGGTTTCCTGGTTTGTTTCGCTTACAGTGACTGGATTACTCTTTCTGATGCATCTATCTGCCACCTTTCAGTGGTAATACCACATGGATCCACATGGATTACCACATGTATCCTGCCTGGGGCCAAATTTTTGGTATTAGATAGTCTATGTAATGCTGTAGTCCTTGAAGGAAATGTCTCATTCGTATTGATTCAGAGAAAGGAGCTTTTGAATTGTGCTGTCCACAGCCCTTCATCTGAGTTGTCTCAGGACTAAGGGGTGGAAGGGAGTTGGGGGAGGCCATGCTCAGGAACAACACTCGCTTTACCTCCACACCCTGCTTTCATCTGTTTCGTACATGGAGGTCTGGATCAAATGTTGAATAAAGAAAAAGGTTGTAATCTAAACAACAACAACAATCTCCAAGCAAACAAAGTAACCCAAAAAACACCAGGCCCCCAGTAGTCAGAGTCAGGAATGCTCAGCTGCTCTTAAATACAGTGGCCTCAGCAGACTGGAGTTTAGGAAAACCCCACTATGTATCATTTAAATGTGAGATATACCTATGTGCCATCTGGTTCTACCCATCTGATTATCAGAACTGTGCTTCGGTTCTTATTTATGACAGTTTGCTGTAACATGTGATTGGAAAATTGAGCTTCTCTTTGGTTTTCCTTTCTGATGGCCCTAAAACCGAACTATCTAGTGTGGCTGCAAGGCTCTCAAAATGTGGCTAGTGACACATCTAGAAATTACAGGTTTTTTGATCTATTGGGTTAAATACCATATATTTAAAACATAATATCACTTGTTGCTTTTTTACTTTCTTAAGGTGATTAATGGGAAATTTAAACTTATATATGTAGCTTGCTTTACATTCATATGGGGCTATATCGTTGAAGAATGGTTGTTTTTTTAAAAAAAAATTGTACTAACTCATGGAGGATTTGGAAATTTACAGAGCACAAAGAAAGGTAAGAAAAGAGTGTGTGTGTTTACTCAGTAAATATTTAATAAATAAGTGAATCACAATTGAATTAAGTGTATAGTCTTTCAGACTTTTGGAAATGCATATAATCCCATTTTTTAAAAGAGAAATGGTATAATACTGTACATCGTGTTTTGTAAGTTGGTCTTTTCCCTTCAGGGTTTTTCTCAGACATTTCCATATGATAAATGTGATCTCTATTACCACTCCAGTGGTTTCACAGTTTTTTGTATTTCATGGATATACTTTACGTCATTTACCCCGGACATCCCTCAGACTTATGCCAAATTGATAAGGGTTTCCTGGTTCATTTCCCTTATAGTGACTATGGGTTAATCTTTCTGATGCATCTATCTGCCACCTTTCAGTAATACCACCCACATCACCCCATTTCCTTACCAATGATGGCCTCGCCCATCTCATCTTGGGCAGTTAATATCTGAAGCAAAATAATTAACTCAAAGGAATTAGTGTGACCAGAGAAGACATAACCTGAATAGATGGAAATAGTGAGCTGTTGCAGAGAGACAGTGGTGAGAAGTTTGAGCTCCCATAAAAAATAAGGTGGAGCTTTAACAGGGAAACAAAAGCCTGGGGGTCTCCTCCATGTCCTGCAAATGCCTGGCCTGCTCTGCGCTAAGTCCTATATATGGTTGCCACCCTTAAGGAGCTTATGGCTCAGTGGAAGTTATCATGTATCATACTCTCATGAGATAAAACATCAATTATGATTAAAGCTTATTAATAAGTTATAAATGGCCGGGCGCGGTGGCTCAAGCCTGTAATCCCAGCACTTTGGGAGGCCGAGGCGGGTGGATCACGAGGTCAAGAGATCGAGACCATCCTGGTCAACATGGTGAAACCCCGTCTCTACTA